GGAATAAACTTAATGTAAGGCAATTACAGTACATGTTGGAAAAGAGGGTTATTATTAACCTTCCCTGTGTCAGATTCTCTTCTGCACAGGTCCTCCACACAAGGTTTTCCGCAGCTCCAGTTATTCTTCCAGTTTTGAGCCTACGTGGGAAAGGCATAGCCAAAAATCTGCTGGGCGTTTGTAAGGGGAAACCAGGGAACAGGAGAAGGTATCAGCACACTTATATTGTGCTCCTGCATTAAGTCTAAGAGACTGACATGAGATTGGATACCTTATGTTTGCTCATAACATGTGAGCCTCCCTTTACATTGCTTGGTATATGCACAACTTTATTAGTGCTCAAAATGTAACTGAATAGCTTCTTCAATCGTGATCTTTTGTAAAGCTGCATAAAAGATTAAAATGGACTTCCTTTCTTTGGGTCAATGGTTGAGTCTTCAAATCACTTAATGCTGATAATTGCTTTATTTGTAGAATGGAAGATTGGTCACCGCAGTCTCTAACAACACCGTCCAGGTCCATACATTTCCAGAAGGCAATCCAGATGGCATCCTGACACGGTTCACCATGAATGCAAACCATGTGGTTTTCAATGCTGATGGGAGTAAAGTAGCTGCTGGATCCAGGTAATGTGGTCTCGGCCTGTCTGGAAAAATATCCCACCGTAGGTTTTCTCTTGCATAGAAAAATGTCATTTTAAACATGGCACAAACCTTCTGTTTATCTGAATTGGGGAAAAAAGTTTACATGCTGCACTGCGTGAACCTGTTGTGGGAACACGGCAACTGTCTTCTTGCAGAGTAGACCGTTTCTTTTAGAAATGCAGAATTTAGCTACGCCAAATTCATGGGAAGCTGTTCTCTTGAGCACTCAATTCAGTTTCTCCAAATGCATAGAAGTGAATCTGGCTGGGCAGATTTCTCACAAGGAGCAGAAGAGGGTATGTTAGTAAAAATCAGCACTTTATCCTGTGGATTACGTCAGCTGGCATTTGCTCCTAATCTTTCATCTATTGTTTGCTAATATTTTTCCTGATCATTCTAAATGACCCATCTGGATCAATTTATTGTTTTCCACTTTGAGTATCCAAGACAGAAAAGCCGTTTGTGAGGAGTTCATAATCTGTTTGACTAATAATGACATGAATGCATCTTATTTGCAGAGGTTTCATAAGTAATAGCTTCTACTCATAACATGTATCACTGAATTAAACTTAAAATAGTTTTGAAATGGAAAAAGTACAATGCTTATTTGCTACGGCAAGACAAATGTTTTTATTGATACAGTTGCTAACAGTGATTATTGTAATTATTGCTAGTGACTTCCTGGTGAAGATTGTGGAAGTGATGGACAGCAGCCAGCAGAAGACATTCCGAGGACATGATGCCCCAGTCTTAAGCGTGTCCTTCGATCCAAAAGACACTTTTCTGGTAACACATTTACCTGCATTGCTCTCTTGATAGTCTATGCCATGATTCCACACTTGCCTATAAGACCACTGTGGTATATAGTAGTCAGTATTGTCCTACCCATCTAATTTATACCTAATCTTATAAAGTTCTTATGTCAGAGAAACTATTTATATGGTTATTGTAGGTTTTTCAGACTGTCTGGCCATGTTCTGGAGGTTGCTCTTCCTAACGTTTCACCAGTTCTCTGTGGCCGGCATCTTCAGAGGACAGGAATCGGAACTCTGTGTTTGAGAATCGTCGTTGTTTAGTCGTGTCCGACTCTTTGTGACCCCATGAACCAGAGCACGCACAGGCCCTCCTATCCTCCACTGCCTCCCGTAGTTGTGTCAATTTCATGTTGGTTGCTTCGCAGACACTGTCCAGCCATCTCATCCTCTGTCGTCCCCTTCTCCTCTTGCCGTCACACTTTCCTAACATCAAGGTCTTTTCCAAGGAGTCTTCTCTTCTCATGAGATGGCCAAAGTACTGGAGTCTCAGCTTCAGGATCTGTTCTTCCAGTGAGCACTCAGGGTTGATCCTATTTAAATATCTGTCCCAACAAAAACATTTAAAGGACTGTATTAAAGAAAAAAGGCACAGCTGAATTTTAGAGCAATGGAACATGATACTACAGGCAGTGGCCCTGAAAAATAACAAGCTTTTCTGGTCCATCGTGGCTGGTTGCTCTGGGACGGAAGGGCACGACGTTGCGGAAATATCATCTGAAAGATGGGTCCAATGTTTTTCCAAGCTCCTCTTTAACAAAGAAATACAGTGGTGCCTTACTTAGCGATCGCTCTGTTGAGCGATGAAATCGCTTTGCAATGGACTTTTGGCCATCGCTGGAGTGATTGCTTAGCGATGGCCCCTATGGGTAAAAATCACTTTGTGATGATTGTGGGGACGCGATCGTGGCAAAGTGCCCATTTTTAACAGCTGATCGGCGGTGCCAAAATGGCTGCCACAAAAAAAATGGCCGCCGCTGTTTTGCCTCGCTGTAGAGGCACCCAAAATGGCCGCCGCTATGGAGGAATTTCGCTTTAAGGTAAGTTTTTAGCCCATAGGAATGTATTAAACGCGTTTTAATACGTTCCTATGGGCTTTTTAAAATCACTTAGCGATGAAATCACTTAGCGATGTTTTTCCCAGAACGGATTAACATCGCTAAGTAAGGCACCACTGTACCACCCAGTGATCCCTCCACCTTTTCCACAATCAAGCTTCCACCCTGGCCTCCAGCATCTACTGATGAGGTTAAAGATCTAATGACCCAGTTAGAAGCGGGAAAAGCAGCTGGCCCCAATGCTATTCCATCAGACTTAGTGAAATGTGACCCAGATTGGTGGCCTTCAATATTTGCCACCCCCTCTTTACTGCTGTAGACAACACTGGGTCAGTTGCTAAAGCCTGGATCAATGCTGTTGTGGCCCCAATTTATTAAAAAGGGGATCCTTCCCTCCCAGAAAATTATAGGACAGTTACCTTACTATCAGTGATAGGGAAATTATATGCAAAATACCTATTAAACAAACTCACCTCTTGAACTGACAATCAATCCATTCTTGGCCCTTAGCAAGCTGGCTTTAGGAAAGGCAAGTTCACAATCAACAATTGCTTGATCCTCTCGCACCTTATTAATAAAACATTAAAATATCCTAATGCCAAACTCTGTGTGGCCTTGATTTAAAGGGATCTTTGGATTCATTAGATAGACAACTATTATGGGACAAATTTGGAAAATTTGGACATTGATCAAAGGCTGCTCCTCCTCATAAAAGGTTTATACTCTGCTGTAACATGCCAAATTCAACTTTCTCGAAGAGCGGAAGTAACCAAACAGGTCCCAACTAACAAGGGAGTGAAACAAGGCTGCGTTCTGGCTCCCTTATTGCTTAACCTTTTTATGAGCGATCTCACTCCCTTTTTGACAAACTTCGATGGCCACCCTCCCGAATTGGGAACTCGTCCCATCATGATACTACTCTATGCGGATGATGCAGTCCTCATTTGCCGCACTCATCCAGGCCTAAAACGCCTGACTCATGGATGTGCAGAGTATCTAAACAAAAATAAAATGCAATTAAATTATAATAAATCAAAAATACTGGTTTTTGCCAAAACATGGAAACAATTTCAATGGAACCTAAATGGAAATCACATTGTTGTTGTTTAGTTGTTAAGTCGTGTCTGACTCCTCGTGACCCCATGGACCAGAGCACGCCAGGCACTCCTGTCTTCCACTGCCTCCCGGAGTTTGGTCAAATTCACGTTGGTAGCTCCGATGACACTGTCCAACCATCTTGTTCTCTGGGAAAGCACATAGAACAGGTTAAACAGTATAAATACTTAGGTGTTCTTTTTCATTATAAACACTCTTGGGTCCCCAATCGAAAAATGACATTATTCTGTGGGCTGTTTTGGGTGAAAGGATAAAGAGGGTATGGTAACCTGGGCATGGCTTACGAGCAGCATCCTGCTTTTTCATGGACATTTTTGGTGGGAGCAGGCCATGCTGGGGTCGGCAAATTCCAGTGGTCCAGGGACGTCCTTCCCCTCTTTTTGGGATTTGCCCCTTGCTGTACAGCCCTCTTCTTCCAGCGTCATATCTTTTAGCCTTTTGTTTCTGTTCATGGGGTTTTCTTGGCAAAGATATTGGCGTGGCTTGCCAGTTCCTGCTCCAGGTGGATCACGTTTAGCCAGAACTCTCCACTATGACCTGTCTGTCTTGGGTGTCCCTGCACGGCATAGCCCATAGCTTTTCTGAATTACTCAAGCCCCTTCGCCATGACAGGGCAGCAATCCGTGAAGTCACGAAATGAAAAGACGCCTGCTTCTTGGGAGGAAAGCGATGACAAACCTAGATAGCATCTTAAAAAGCAGAGACATCACCTTGCTAACAAAGGTCTGCATAATCAAAGCTATGGTTTTTCCAGTAGTGATGTATGGAAGTGAGAGCTGGATCATAAAGAAGGCTGACTGCCAAAGAATTGATGTTTTGAATTGTGGTGCTGGAGGAGGCTCTTGAGAGTCCCCTGGACTGCAAGGAGAACAAACCTCTCCGTTCTCCATGCTCACTGGAAGGACAGATTCTGAAGCTAAGGCTCCAATCCTTTGGCCATCTCATGAGAAGAGAAATCTCCCTGGGAAAGACCCTGATGTTGGGAAAGTGTGAAGGAAAGAGGAGAAGGGGACGACAGAGAACGAGATGGTTGGACAGGGTCATCGAAGCGACCAACATGAATTTGATCCAGCTCTGGGAGGCAGTGGAAGACAGGAGGGCCTGGGCATGCTCTGGTCCATGGAGTCACGAAGAGTCGGACACGACTTAATGACTAAACAACAAATGCAACCCTCTGAGCCCAAACTGGAAGCTGCATGAAGTCCACTTCCAGGTTTATGAAATGGCTCTTTAAGACTTGAGTCCTTTATGTTTCTTCTGTCCAGTGCTGGAGTATTGAGGCGCTGCTGCAGTCCAGTTGCCCCCCCCCCAGCAGCAGAACGCTCTTCGTCCTTTTTCCAGCACACAAGAACAGGGTGACTGAATGACAAGGGCAGGATAGGACTCACACGTGGAATTATGCCTCAGTGACGTCCTTAAGGTACCCTGAAGACTGAAGACACATATCGAGGCTTTTGTGGGGAAAAAGCTTTTTGGACCAAACTGTAGTTTAAAGAGGCCGGTTTTATTTTTGTTGGTTGGTTTTAAATTTCACAGAAGTTTTTCTTTAGGCAACATTTTATTTGGTTGTTGTGGGTTTTTCGGGCTCTTTGGCCGTGTTCTGAAGGTTTTTCTTCCTGACGTTTCGCCAGCATCTTCAGAGGACAGCACTCTGTGCTCTGGTGTAGCTGGCTTTATTTATTTATTTAAAATATTTCTATACCACCTTTCCCCCCCAAAAGGATCGAAGAATGAGCATTCTGTTTCAGGTGGATCCTAATCTGCATTATCAGGACAGTAACATCCTGATCGTTGGTCCCGTCAAGTACTTGTCACACCAAATCTATGTGCTATTCTCACTGTAAATGTCGTCATCGTTGTTCCTTCGGCACTATTAATTCTTCAAAAACATTCTCTTCTCCAGGCATCAGCGAGTTGTGATGGATCTGTCAGAGTATGGAAAATTTCAGAACAGGTACCTTTCCTTGATGATTGCCATTGTACCATTGTAAACAGAGGATTCTGGTCAATAAGGCTGTATTCTAGGTCCATTCCCACACTAACGCTGTTCATTGTTTTATTTTTTTTTTTTAAGAAACACAGGAGTTAAGGGACAAAAAAATGTACTGTATGCTTTGTCAAAGCACCCAATGCCTTTCTTTCTCTTTAAGTACCAATTTTAGCACCAGGGTTCAAATGGAGATGATGTTTGGTATCACAGTAAACTGTCTTTTGCATAAGCTCTAAGTAGGCAGATAAAAGCTGGTGACATGGGTAAGGCGTGATCAGTTCTGCTGCAGGTCTGAATGCCTGCCTGGAAATGTGTTCAGGAAGTTTGCATTTCAGTGGAGAACTAATAAATACGCGGGGTTAGGCTGGGATAAATGTGAGTGTGGTTAATCTGTAAGTCGTACTTTTATGAATGTTTTGTTTTACAGCTCAGTGAGCAAACTATATCCTTTGTGAAAGATTGCCTTGTCATTAAGAAACTGCTCTTAAGTTTTCAGAGACTCCCAAGACAGTTTCAGAAATTCCTATATGAGAGTTGTAGAATTAGCTGTTTGTAATTTCTCTGACAGATACATGTTTTATTAAAGCTACGTATACAGTGTTTATATATATATATTTTAATAAACATCAAACAAGGCAGTTCCCTGTAGAACAGAACTAACTGGATTAAGATGAGAGAGTACAATAGAGCCGCCTAGAGTGGTCTATTGACTAGATAGGCGGGATATAAATAAAATAAATAATAAATAATAATAATACAATATGCTCAAGAGGAGCCAGTTTATTTCCCGGCTGGTGGAGACCTGGACGCCCTGCTTCCTAGCTCAGCATTCCAGCCCCTGCACCGAAACAACCTCATGCTTTCTCCTCGGCTTAAAATATATTGGTCCAGTGCTTTGTGTGTATGTGTAAAACTCCTATTATTTTGTAGGAGTTTATATCAAAAGTTTATAATCAGTTTATAATCAGAAATATATTCTGCTTTCAAGGCTTGTGAAAAAGCATGGCCCTTGCTGGAGAAATGCAACGATGTGGTAAATGCAAAATCAATATGTAGACTCTCCTGGCAACCAAAACAAGGAAAGGTAACATGTTGTTTTTTTTCTCTTTTGTGCTTTAATCCTTTCTTGCGTACGTATGTGCAGGCACAGATTTAGAAAATCACTACGTGGGAAAAGGGTTAAGGCAGCCGCTTGGCAGTAGGGCTTTAGAAATGTGAACGGCTCAGTGAGCTTTGCCTCTCGCCTTGGGAGGACAAGGTTCATAATCCATAGCTTTGAAGGTTGGTGATGTTCTTGTCTGTGTTTTTCTCAATGCTATGTGTCTGAAACAAGGAATGTGCAGAAGGTACATTTCCACCTATTCTGGGCTTCCGCTCCTGTTATCCCTTGGGTTGTGCAGTGAGTGTTTATAAGATTAGAGGTCTAAAACAGTTGGAGATTTACCTTGTGCCCACTGTTGTGAGTAGAAAGATTTGGTGAGCTGGAGTAACATACGAACGGGCCTAAAAAAAACTCTTTGTGTAGCTTTGCCACCTTTTTGTGCGGAACTGATCACTTCACAAAGCCCAAGTGCCTCAGATGGGGATTCTGGTGCAGACTAGACCTGTTGTGGAGTTGGGGAAGCGGGAGTCTGCTTCAGGGTGGTTTCCTGAAGAGGACTGCAGGCCACACCAAGGATAAAGGCTGAAAAAGGATGGCTTAGATTCCTTAAAAGGAGAAGCATCAGAATGCTCAGCCAGTGTCAAAGCACAGCATGGGAAGTGTACGAAACACAACTGTTAAAGCTGGTCACTTAGCAGATGGGCTGTATTATAGCAAGAAGAGATGCAAAACTAAACAAAAGCAAAAAAATAAAGATGATGAAGACATTGTGACCCTTTAGAACAGGGGTCCCCAAACTTTTCGGAACCGCGGACCAGTTGGGGGGGGGTTGAGGCCGGGGCCACCTCCATGCTTGCAAGTTGGCGTGGCACGCGGGTGGGTGGGCATGGCACATTTGGATGTGCGGGTGAGTGGGGTGCACTTGCTGATGGGCGTGGCGCTCACATGCATGGATGGGTGTGACGCAGTTGCGGGTGTGGCACGCACATGCGCCTGAGCATGCCACACCCACCCACAGGCATGCCACACCCATCCCCACATGAATGAGCATGTCACGCCCATCCACAAATGTGCCACACTCACCATGCGTGCATGCAGCAGGGGAGGGAGATCTGTCTCTGTGGCCCGGTCCTGCGACGCCCACGGACCAACACAGGGCCACAGAGCAGGCATTGGGGACCCCTGCCTGAGAAGACTAACTGCTTTATTTTAACATGAGTTTTTGTGCAACAAATCCACTTCAGAAAAGAGTGAGAATAGCAAAAACATACAGGGCTCTCGTATAGTCTCTATATTCTCACTCTTATGGCTGAAGAGCTAGACTTATTCAATGAAAGCTCACATTAAAACACAGCAGTTAGTCTTTAAGGTGCTGCAACATCTTTGTCATCTTTTTTTTTTGCCTCTGCTTTGTTTTGTTTCTTGATATGCTTGCACTGACTAACACAGCTACCACTTTAAAAACTGTAACTATGAATGGCTGTACTGTGTAGGTGCCTGACTCCGCTCAGATATTAGTTGAAGCAACTTCTGTTACTCTTGAGGAGCTGGGAGATGCGCTGGACCATGGTCTAATTCTTTTGACCTAGAGACTTAGCTGTCCTTTACTTGCCACGAACCTTGATACTTGATCCCTCTTCCCACAGCCAGTTGTGCTGCTGATTGTACCCTGAAGTGAGATCTTCAGATATTGTGCAGAATATAAATCAGGGCATCTAACATGTCACTGACATTAGCTTTACTGGAATAAAAGAAAACTTACTTAGCACTTGCTGTGATTTGCATAAAAGTTGTTATTTCTTACAAATTCTTAACCTGGATAACATCAGTGTTCACTTATCACGAACACCAGAATTTGTTCGAAAAGCATTTGAAAGCTTCAGTCATACCTGGAGTGGCAGGATTGCCTTGATCCATTCCCGTCTGAATTCAGGCCACAGTGGGGTCCTGAGACGACACTGATCGTGCTACTGGGTGACCTTTTGAGGGAGGCTGACAGGGTGTGATTGGGTTCTTTTTCTAAGAGGGGCAGACCCTTCAATTCAGCAGGAAAAAAGGACGGAGAAGAAGATAACGGTTTAAACATGCTTTCTTTATTCCTTTGTACATTTTGGTTGCTAACATAGAACAGATCCAAATAACTCAACTCAGGCATCAACTAATTCTTTACATTAACTGGGCTCACATCCTTTACTTCTGTTATTTCTTCACACTCCCATACGGACCTTGTTCTGTTTGTGGCCATGTCGGGAAGCTCAGGGTAGCACAGACTGTCCCGCAACAGGGGTGTTTCACTAACTTCCCCTCTAGGTACGGGAGGTAGTTGGTGCTACCAATGAATGTCACCCTCTTCCCTCTGTCCTGGGATCGAGGTACCACTACCATGTTCCATTCTACTTTGGATTTTATCTTTCCTCTGTCATTAACATTAGAAGGATCGGGCAGTAGACCTCCGCCAGTTCTAAGGTTTGAGAATTCCCAGGCTAATTCTATTATTTCATACCTTTTCACTTCTGTCTCTTCTGTCTGCGTACTCTTGTTATTCCTCTCTATCTCCTGTTCTCCTCTTGTTCTCCCCCCAACACTCTCTTCTCCTCCCTCTTTTTAACCTCATCCCACCTTAAGAATTCTAGCTCCTCCCCTTTCCTTGCTCATCTGGTGTCAGCCAAAAATATCTCCACAGCTCTGTTTCTACCAGTCTCTCCTTCTTCTAGCTTGACTCCCCTACCGCGCAACCAGCTGTCATCTCCTGTCTGATCTCAGTGGAGGACGGCACACTAAACATCTCTCCTTCACACAGGGGCAGATGCACCCTGTTGGTACTCCCAGATCTCCTAGTGGCGTTTGAGACCCTCGGCCATGGTGTCCTCCTGGACAGACTCTCTGAGGTTGGGATTGGGGCCTTAAGGACCCTGTCTAGAGAGTTCAGCTAGGGGTAGGAAGTGCCAGTGCCTTGGACCCCAAGGTATGGGGTTCCTCTGGAATCAGCATTATTCCCAATGCTGTTCAACATTTATGTTAAGGCATTGGGGAGGTCATCGGGAGATTTGGAGTAAGGTGTCATCACTACGCTCATGACTGCAACTCTGTCTTTCTGCTACCACTTCTGTAGCGGATGCTGTCCAGGCATTGGAGCGTTGCCTGGTTTCAGGACTGGAATGGACCCCAGGGCTAACAGGCTCCAAGGGGGAGGGGAAATGACCCCTGATCGACTGGTGGTCCCTAGGCTGAATGGTATTTCCCTCCAGTTTAGAGACCGAGTGCATCATTTGGGCGTTCTGGACTCGGCTCTTTGTTGGGAGTCCCAGATCACAGCCGCGTCCAGCTTAGGCTAATGGCCCAACTTTGTCCCTACCTAGATGAGGACTCCCTCAAGACTTTGGCACTGGCCCTGGCCATCTCCCAGATCAACTAATGCAGTGCCCTCTACGTGGGTCCAGAATGCGGCAGCCAGACAGGTGGCGGGTGCAAGTAAGCATCATTCCAGTTCTGGCACACCTTGACTGGTTGCCCGTGGTGTCCCGGATCAGGTTGGGTGCAAGTAAGCATCACTCCAGTTCTGGCTCACCTTGACTGGTTGCCCGTGGTTCCCGGATCAAGTCCAAGGTTTTGACAGTCATGTACAAAGCCCTCCGTGTTTGGGCCCATGTGACTTGTTGGAGCATCTCTCCTTAATGTCATTTGCCTGACCCTCAAGATCATCTCAGTCGAGGCTCTTCCTAGTGGCCACCCCAGAGGAGGCCAGTTAATCCTCTACAAGAGGCAGGGCCTTCTTTGCGGTGGCTCCAACTTTATGGAAACAGCTTCCAGAGGAGCTCTGCCTGGCCCCCTCCCTGTGGACTTTTAGGAAGCAATTAAAGATATTGCTCATCAGGGAAGCTTTCCACACTGACCCTAGCTCTGACCACTTTCTCCCCCCACCCTCTTTCCTCCATCCACTCTGGTTTTACATGATCAGTGTGTGCCTTCTGATTGCAGGGTTACTGTTATTCTAATATTTTTATCTTTATTTTTGTTACTTATTATACGTGTTGCAACCACCCAGAGTAAGTGCCTCAGCACTAATGGGAGTTGGATACAAATTGAAGAAATAAATATGAATAAATAAATAAAAGTCAGGTTCACAACATCAAATAACACATTATTTAACAACATCTTTTCCTGCCTGAATAGTTCCTGGCCGTTCCAGTAGAGAAAGTCGTTAAACTATACAGAAGAGACACTTGGGATCACCAACTGGATTTGTCAGATGATTTCATTACACAGGTTGGTATCCATCATATGACTATTGTATAGTCCCTCTGTGATGTGAGGCGAGGGCTGCCAGATAGCTTGTTAAAGGTAGAAATGTTTCTTAGATAGGCAAGTCTACCTGCAGAGGATCGTAGGTTGTTGTGGAGGGGTGAGGGGAGAGAGAGCGAGAGAGCTGTTCTTCCGCGCTCTGGTGCGGGAGTCTGCTTGCTCCTGTTATCTTCTCTGTGTGTGCTTGTTGCAGGGATAGCATGAATTTCCATTGTACAAGCTCTTCTCTAAAGTAAATTCAGCCCAATAGTACTGCCTGTAGATGCCTAACTGCTTGGAGAAACAGAAAGCAAATAACAGCATAATGAAATATGGTGCCCAGAGGACGTTCTTTCGAATGTTAACATTCTTTCAAATGTCAGACTTGTAAAGTGGAATTGGAGTAAATTTATGGAATTGTGACAACTAGAAGCAGTTTTTCAGCTTTCTGACTTACTATATAGCTATCGCTTTTTAAACCTAAAGTTTCCTATCCCTCCCGAGGATGGTCAATGAAGGCTAAGATGAATGCCGAGCCTGTTTCCGTACCTGTTCCTTCTTGCAGTTTCTGCAGAATATTTCTCCAGGCATGAATAATCTGTTCAGATGTTGAAAATGAAATGGTCCAATCGCTAACAGTGCATATTTTTTCCTCTCTCTCCCACCTCAGCCTCTCAATGTGGTCGCCTGGTCTCCATGTGGGCAGCACGTGGCAGCTGGAAGTATCGGTGGCTACATCGTCGTTTGGAATGTCAACACCCAGCAGTGTCTGAACAGGTGCCAGCTGGTTTTCATAATGTCTCTTGTAACAAAATGTGCTTGCATGCAGCAGGAAAGAGAGAGTTGTAGAGAGAGTTTGTGTGAGCCACGAGTCCATGAAATGAACATGGGCATTCTTTAAAGCTTTTGCCTACAGTTACTTAAGTCTGGAAGAGAAATGGGATCTGGCAGGACAGTCCCGTTTTTATTTCTTTTGTATTTATTTTTAAGACTTGGCCCTTCTTCATCATGAAATCAGAAATTTCCGCACAAAATCTGCAGAACAGGCTGTGCCTCTCTGAGTGATATTTCTCTGCAATAATAAGATGCAATTTTTTTGCGGTGAGCATGGAATACTATCTTCAGCTGGTCTCCGTGAAACTTCGGCTCCTGCTTTAAGCAGACTGAGAGTAGCACAGAGATCTCCCTTATACGGAGTCAAACCCATGGTTTGGTTAGGCCAGTATGGTTAACTCTGACTGACTGCAAAGTGTTCTGCTTATATACCACCCCATAGTGCTTAAAGCACTCTCTTGGTGGCTCACAACTTAATTATGCAGGCTACAGATTGCCCCCCCCGTGATCTAGGTATACAATTTACTGACCTCAAACGATGGAAGGTTGAATCAACCTTGGGCTGGCTACCTGAGCCCAAGATTGAACTCAGGTTGTGAGCAGAGTTTTCAGTGCAGTACTGCAGTTTAATCGCTTCACCGTGAAAGTTTCAGGCAGGATTCTGCCCTTGCCTTCTCTGGAAATACCAGTTTGTATTCTGCCACTGAACTATCACCGATCCCTCATTTCATGTACTGTTATGGATAATGTGCTGGAACCCTAAGAGAGTTGAGTGGAAGTCCCTGCTTAGCTATTTGGGCCAGTCACGATTTTTTACTTTAATCTCTTGCATGGAGTTACTGTGGAAGTAAAATAACATAATTAAGCCAAGGCAGGGGCAGTTATAAATCTGTCAAAGTGGAAAGGCCCTTTTGAGAATACTAATAGATTCAAAGACTTGCTTCCCAAGGATATAGGCAAGGGCCTTCTCCTACAGAAGGGCTACCTCAGACTGTGGAAGGCTCTCCCTGCCCCAGAAATAAAATCAATTTCCACTCCCACTACATTCAGGATGGCAGGTAGACACACCTTTTTAAGTTGGCTTCTGATAATTTTAGTTTATTCTGATGATTCTGATTTTATTTTATTTCAGTGGTGCTATGAATTAATTACATGGTGGCGCTGCAGGTTAAACCGCACAGCCTCTGGGCTGCAGGGTCATGAGACCAGCAGTTCAAATCCACGTGACATAGTGAGCTCCCGTCGCTCATCCCAGCTCCCGCCAACCTAGCAGCTCAAGAGCATGTAAATGCGAGTAGATAAATAGGTACCCCATGGTGGGAAGGTCACGGCATTCCGTGTCTAGTCGGGCTGGCCACGTGACCACGGAAACGGTCTACAGACAAATGCTGGCTCGATGGCTTGGACACGGGGATGAGCACCACGCCCTAGAGTCGGACACGACTGGACTCAATGTTGAGAGGAACTTTTACCTATGAATTAATTTGTTTTTACTGTGCTTTTGTGATAATTATATACCCATTGAGTGTCACTATGCAGTGGAACAGTATGGTAGAAATGTAATAAATAATAATAATCTGAAGTATCAGATGGTAGGACTAAAAGACCATATCTCCCTGTATTGAGATAATCAGGGGACGCCTTTCTCTGGGTCCTTCATCTTCACAGGCGTGTTTGGTGGGCACATGGGAGAGGGTCTTCCTTGTTGCAGTTCCCAGACTCTGAAACTCCTTCCCACAGAATGTTAGGCTGATCCCATATTTACTATTTGTCTGTAATTAGGCCAAGACTTTTCTCTTCAGGCAGGCTTTCCTTTAAATGACTGGTTGACCAAGGGGATTTTTAAAAAAGATTATTTTATTCTGTTGTTTTACTTGTGTGTTTAATATTGCTCGTATTTGTTAGTTTTTAATACGCTATTTGTTTAATGCATTTAAAATATTGTAATAATTTATTACAGTGGTGCCTCGCTTTACGATTGCCCCGTATTACGACGAAACCGCACTATGATGAACTTTTTGCGATTGCAATTGCAATCGCGAAACGATGGTCTAAATGGTTTTTTTTCGCTTTGCGATGATCGGTTCCCTGCTTCGGGAACTGATTCTTCGCAAAACGACGATTTTAAAACAGCTAATCGGCGGTTTCAAAATGGCCGCCAAGTAAACAAAATGGCTCCCCGCTGTTTTCTGGGACAGCTTCCTCGCAAGACAGGCAGTGAAAACGGCTGCCCTATGGAGGATCTTCGCTGGACGGTGAGTTTTGACCCCTTTGGAATGCATTAAAGGGGTTTCAATGGGTTTTTTTTCCGCTTTATGATGTTTTCGCTTAATGGCGATTTTCCTGGAACGGATTATCGCTGTTAAGCGAGGCACCACTGTATTTAGTTTTTTAATGTTGTAAGCTGCCTTAGATTCATTAGGAGAAAGGTGGTGGTATATGAATGGATGGATGAAGGAAGGAAGGAACAACCATGTATCATTTCCATGAAGCAATGCTTTCTCTCTGGCCATCTCCATTTCGGTGGATGAAGACATTTTGTTATTTCTGCAGTGATTTTGAATAAATCCCTTTTCCGTTATTTTCTCTGCTTTTTAAGGGTGAAGCACGAAAAGGGTTACACCATCTGCAGTCTGGCATGGCACCCCAAAGGAGATCAGATTGCTTATACAGACATGGAGGGCAATCTGGGTCTACTTGAGAATGTCTGTGATGGAGATGGAAAGAAGTCAAACCAAAAGGTAATGATAATTCGACTCTTTCTTGTCCTTTTTCATATCATTTCTAGCCAGGGGTGGTTATATTTATCCAGTTATATAAATCTGGAGACTTTGGTGGGGGATTTTTAAAAAAATATTCTCTAATTTAGCATAAACATCTGGGAAGATTAACAGTGAAATCTTGGCTTTAGGCTTCAGTTCCTGCTCCCAAAACCTATGACGATCTTTTCGATGAGGACGGCAATGAGGATTTTCTGGAGGGTGACTTGACTGGGGAAGACTGGGGTTCAAAGCCAGTGATCAATGATGAAGATGAAGATGAAGACCTTTTGATGGCTTCAGGACGTCTGAAGAACAGAGGAGCCCGAATAGAGGATGACGAGAACTCTGTTGGTGAGGATTCTGCAAAGTGAGAGGTTTGGCGAAGGCAGAGAGAGAGAGAGAGAGACAGAGAGATATTGAGTTTTGAGATCGCTGCAGTTCAGGCACATAATTTCTTGGTGATGCTGTTAGTTCTACCAGCAGCATCCTCAGGCAGGTACAGAAAGATCTGCCACCATAAACCTTTGACCGTAAAGTGATCTGTCTTTCATAGATATCGGATTGCTGAAAGTGAATCCTGCCCTTGATAAGGAGGAAGAGGAGGAGGATCCAGATGGCCTCGTTCCAGTCCAGCCTCTATCGTCAACCCAAAGGACTTTCTATGACGGGCCAATGCCAACTCCTCGGCAAAAGCCATTTCAGTCTGGCTCCACCCCAGTACATCTCACACACCGTTTCATGGTAAGCGTTAGAGTCTTGTTTTATGATTTTAAGTATGTAAGATGGTTATCTGCAAGCAGGATCTGAAGGCCTTAGGAATGGACCTCCTCCACATATGGGAAACCTTGACTTCTGAGAGTTCATCCTGGAGGCAAGTGGTGTAGCATGGCCTCTCCCAATTTGAAGAGACCCTTGTCCAGCAGGTCGAGGCCAAGAGGCTGTCCCGAAATCAGCCACATCAGGGAGCTGGACAGTGGACAGGTTGTATCACAACCAACAACCCACAACAACCCACAGATTGTGTGTGCTTGTTCTGCTAGTTTTATCTCAGTATTGTCCAATCCTATGATTGCACTCTCAGCTGTGTATATTCAATCCTTGCTTCACTTTTATAATTATTCTCTGCAATTTCAAAGCAGGTTTGTTTAAAACGCTTTAAAAAGTAACATAGCTTAGAGTGCCCAAGGCATGTAACGTGGTGCTCGTTATCGTTCTAAAGGTGCAGCCATCTGCTACATGAAACCTCCAAGAAAGCACCGTGGATGTAATATCTGAATGGGAGTGAAAGGTAGCTCAGAGGTATGCCCTGGTAGGAATGGGGTGAGAAGGCCAGTGGGTAAATTTCATGAAAGTTTTGCCTCCACGAGTGAATCACTGTCTTCTTTCTGGGCATTGTTGTTCTTCAGGATGCATTTTCTATAGAGTCTTAAGGGCAGCGAGCTCCACTACCACCACCACCACCACCACTTGTTATAGTTATAGTTAGCCGCTCAGAGTGGTATAAATATACCAGATGGGCGGGATATAAATTAAATAAATAAATAAATAGTTATTTATTTATTTAACTTATATGCCGCCCACTCTACCCAAAGGTCTCTGGGCGGCTTACAACAATTAAAATACAATAAAAATAAAACAAAAAGATAAAACAATTAAAATAGATACTCTAAAAATTGCCATACCAAGACTGGTCCAGCACCAAATAACAAAATATAGGGGTCTGAAGGGGTCTGTAGGTGTTCGTAGGCGTGGGCCTGAGGGCTGGAACTGCCCAAATTCTGCTCGCAGAATTCATGGAGTTTTCTGGGAATTGAAATCTGAAACGTCTAAATGGGGGCATTCCTAGACTTACAAATAAAATACATAGATACGGAAAAAAATTACAAAAGGCAGCCAATCCTTTGAGTTGGATGAACCTTATCAATGACCAAAAAAAATAGAGAAATGTTTTAATCTGATGCTAAAAATGTGGTCATGTTGGGACCTTAGCTATCAATCTCAGCATATAGAATGGATCATGGCAGGAGAAGTGTTCCATGAAATCCTGTGACTCTGAGCCCTATGAGGTGTTTTATATGTCAAAAAGCAGTCCATTAAATTTGGCCCAGAAATGTTACCAGTAGCCAGAAAGGTGCTAGAATGGGCATCGTATAATCCAACATTCTGGTTTAAACCTCTGACCTCTGTGGGATGCGCTCATTTTCAGAGCACCACATATAGTTCATTGTTGTAATATGGACTCTGCATGTAGATGTTCATTGAACAGAGGTTTCTGATTGCCTAAGGGTGGACGGCTTGTGTCTAGTCTTAAGTAAATGACAGAGTAGCGGTAGTACAGGTATACACCAGGGGGCGATAACCAAAAGAATCTTCCCTGAGATGATGAAGACGGCAAGCACCAGAGTAGTGTTGATAGCAGAGATTGTATTATTTACAGAATATACAGGCATATTTACAGCTCAGCCTTTGTTCTCAGTTCCAAAGTAATGCACAATAGTTTCCACAGAGTTTAGTGCATATATCAGAGTCAATGTCCAGTAAATAAGTTCAGTAGTCATATACCATACGTTCCATCCAGGTAGCCAGAGTTCCTCTTCAATTCCAAGCTCGTAGACACGGCTTCCTCCAGGATTCTCAGGCACAGGAACACGACGACTCTTCTCCACGAACACACCAACAGCATCAACAGCATCACCACCAACAACCCACAACAACCCACAGATTGTGTGTGCTTGTTCTGCTAGTTTTATCTCAGTATTGTCCAATCCTATGATTGCACTCTCAGCTGTGTATATTCAATCCTTGCTTCACTTTTATAATACTGATCCTGACAATACTTATTGTCATGTTACAAAACTTGATTTAACAATTCTATCCAGGTTTAGCCCAAACCTGTCAGTAAACAAGCCATTATTTAGCTTAAGGGTCTCCGACTTGTCTTTTCTCAGCGAGCCTTTCCATCCCACCCATAGGTGTGGAACTCTGTTGGTATCATCCGATGCTATAACGACGAGCAGGGCAACGCCATTGATGTTGAATTCCACGACACCGCGGTCCATCATGCAATGCACCTGCCTAATTCTTTGAATCACACCATGGCAGACCTTTCCAACGAAGCTCTTCTACTGGCCTGCGAGAGCACAGATGACCTAGCAAGGTAAACCACTAGGAGCCACTTCATGTGTGGCCTACGCTTGTCAAAAATACAGCTTACCTCGAGGAGCCTCGTGGTGCAGTGGTTAAACTGCAGCAAAAACTCTACTCACCCCCCAGATTCAATCTCAGCTAGCCGGCTCGAGGTTCGCTCAGCCTTCCATCCTTCTGAGATGGGTAAATTGAGTGCCCAGCTTCTGGGGCGGGCGGGGGCCTGCAAGTTGTTGCCTGCATAATTAAGATTGTAAACTAGCTAGAGAATACTTTAAGCGCTGTGGGGTGGTATATAAGCAGCACACTTTACGATTGCTTTGTGCTTTACCTACAAAGCGATGATGGCGGCCAGGATGAATTAATACATCTCAGAACTGTTGTTGCTGTTGCTTCTTGCAAAAGCCAGGGGACAGCAGAAGGATAAAGAAAACCTGAAGCTAATAAATGTAGGAAGATTTATTGCCAATTTATTGTCAGCATTTCTAGTGACTTCTGATCTGGTTTACCTTCGTTGGGGGGGGGATGAGTCCCTCTTAATTCAGTTCAGTGTTTAGCAGAGCTGCTCCCATGAGGGTCCATACCTCCCCCACCCCACTGCACCCCCGGGTGCCATGGTCAGATCTTCATTCCTTAATTCTTAAACAATTTCCTTCCCCCCCCCTTTCATTTTTAGCAAACTTCACTGCATCCATTTTAATTCCTGGGATTCCAATAAAGAATGGACAGTTGACATGCTACCTGAGGAAGATATTGAAGCGATTTGTTTGGGCCAGGGCTGGGCGGCCTGTGCCACCAGCACCCTCCTGCTTCGCCTCTTCACCACTGGGGGAGTCCAGAAAGAGGTGTTCAGCCTCCCAGGACCAGTGGTATCCATGGCGGGACACGGAGAGCAGCTGCTGCTGACATTCCACAAAGGTGCTTTCTCGGTTCCTGCTAAACTTTTATTTAAATGTCTCCCGTGTTGTATGAATGAAGGCTGAGTTGTCTTGCTTTTGATGACTGTGCTAGCAACTTTTTGCTGTCCTTCCCTTTGACCTGTTTCGGCCACATTTTTTCCAGCTGAGACCTTGGCTATGTTGGACCCAGGAAGTCTCAGGACTCTCTCTCATGCAGAGTCAAGCCATTGCTCCAGGTAGCTGCTGGTACCCACTTTGATTAGGTCTAGCTCTTCAAGGTATTAAGAGAGTCTTTTCAAGTTTGACCTTGAGATGCAAAACATTGAACCTGCTTGATGCAGTCTACGGGGTTTTTACTTGCCAAGGTGACATTCTGCCAGTGAATGGTGGCTCCCTCTGGCTTCCCTTCTTCCCACTGCCCTTTGCGATGTAAACGGTTCTCAAAGGCAGCCAAAATTCCTTTTCAGTCTCGGGATGAATTGCTTTTTAGAGCACAATAAAAGGTGATCATTGAGCTTCAGAATGGAGAAATAAGACTTTAGATTTCATATCATAATACAGTGTGCCCCGACAATAATGCGTTCCAGGCAAATTGCTGTTAAGCGAAATCGTCGTCAAGCGAAAATAACCCATTGAAATGCATTGAAAACTGGTCAATGCGTTCCTGTGGGGGAAATACCTGCTCGTCCAGCGAAGATCCTCCATAGGGGAAGCCATTTTGCATCGCTGTCTTCCGGAAATAGGTCCGGAAAACAGCGGGGAGCCATTTTGAAAACCCGACGATCAGCTGTTTTTAATCATCGTAATGTGAAAAACCAGTTCCCGAAGCAGGGAACTGATCGTCGTAAAATGAAAAAAAACCCATCGAATCATCGTTTTGCAATCGCTATAGTGATCGCAAAAACCTCATCGTCAAGCGATTTCATTGTCAAATGGTAATCGTCAAGCGGGTCAAGGAGGCACATTTAAATAAATTTGTTTCCCTAAAAAAATTCCAAATATGAATTTCTAATGCTCATATTTTATGAGTGAAAATTAAAATGAACCAGGGAATTGAAATCCAGCAGAATATCTTAGGTGGGGAAACTGAAATTTTGGACATGCACAGTGAAATTTTATGCTCCCCCTCAGCCCTGCTTTATGCATCATCCTGGCTAGAATTAATGCTCCCTGACCTTTTTTCTTCTCCAGGCACTGGCTTTGAAGGGGATCAGAATCTCGGGGTACAGCTGATAGAGTTTGGAAAAAAGAAGAAACAGGTTTTACATGGCGACCCACTTCCCCTTTCCAGGAAATCCTACCTAACATGGGTGGGATTTTCCGCAGAAGGTGAGATGGTTTATTCTTTTCTCTTTAGTCAGAAGGACCTTGATTTGATCTGATTTCTATTGATAAATTTCAAGGGCTGACTTGAAAAGTAGTTGATATGAGGCATGAAAACATCCATGAAGAGAGGAAAACAACATTGTGACATGAATCACTCTCGTGGATGATGTTGTGTCTTTGAGATTTGCTGGTTTGGATTCATGTATTTGGATTACAACTTAATAATAATAATAAATTTTACGACTGTGGAGTTGGAAGGAACCCTGTGGGTCATCCAGTCCAGCCCCTGTCAAGGAGGCACCGGTGGGGGAATCAAACTCCCAGCCTCTGCCTCTCCAGTCAAAAGCCTAAGCCACTGAGCTATCCAACTTTACAGGAATTGGAATTTTTTTGTGTGTATAGAGTTTACACTGTGCTTTTTGGAGTAACCAGTATGCATTGTCACAGCTGTACTGTAAGATGTATCAGGGAAATGGTTAGAAGTTTTTGTGTTGCCTATGTTTTTTGTATGCTGCCTCTTTGGCCCTTTTTTGTATTTATATAAGTGTTGTTAGTTTTAATATTGTCTTTTAAATCATGCAAGCTGCCTTTGATGATGTAAGCCACCTTAGGTCCTTTTAAGGAGAAAGGCGGATTAAAAATATTTTAAATAAATAAACAAGATAGGAAATTTTCTCTAGTTTCTCTTTCCACTATCCCGGATGATCCAGGAATTCCATCCTGTTATTTCCCTGCTGATTCACCACCTCGTGCATTAGATATTCTTTTGGCCTGCATCGCTTTTTATCTGTTAATTATATTGGTTTTCATCCCAGACTGTTCATATGTATAACACAAACAGCAAAGAACAAAACACATTGCTTCCTATTGAGAAATAAACACATTTGCCACCCATGTGACATCAAAGGATCCCTAAAAGCAGTGCATAGCATTGTCCGTAAAGATTGCAAGGGGACTTAGGATCCTTAAGGAAGTCTTGCTAATCCTCTTGCCCTTCAAGGGCATCAGACTACAAGAGCCATCATCATCAGGCTGACTGGGGATGATGAGAGTTGTAGCCAATGTATCTGCATAATATCCAGTTGGAAAAGGTTTCACTGAATGTGGAACGTCAGTTCAGTGACTGCAGATGACCAGAAGATGGCAACATTTCCAACATTAATTTGTGGATGACTGTTCATTTCGACTGGTTTCACAGTTTGTGCTTTTTCAGAGATACTGGTGGCGTGGTGGGGCGGCGGTGTTTGCCTTCAGCATCAGTTGTTGAGAAGTGACTTCACAAAAGTGCTTTCTCTCTGTGTGTGTGTACGTGTGTGTCACTGTTAAACAGGTACCCCTTGTTACGTGGATTCCCAGGGCATTGTACGCATGTTAAACAGAGGGCTTGGTAATACTTGGACTCCGGTCTGTGACACAAGGGAGCACTGCAAAGGGAAGTCCGACCACTACTGGATTGTGGGTGTTCATGAAAACCCTCAGCAGCTCAGGTAGGAAAATACATTTTGCATGATAATCCCCAGGGTGCAGAGTCTTGCCCATTGGCCATCATGGGCTCAGGTATTCTGGGAGCTGAAGTCAAAAGAAACAAAGAAAGGAAAAAGCTGAATTTCTCCCCCTGTTCCTTCGTACAATAGCAATTGAAAAGAGCTGCCATGTTTGGCTCAGAACCTTTCAGACAGACTTGCTCAAGGGCTTCGTGCTCCATTGAATCTGCGGTCGTGGACAGATGAAGGTCTGCAAGGCGAGGAAGAATCTCTTGCTCTCTTGAAGGAAGATCTATGTCATTGGGGCACTCAGTTCGGTCAATGGACTGCCACCGCAGTAGCTGCTGTGGGTCCCTTTGCTGACCACAAAGCCCCCCGCAAGCCCTCTTCCTTGCCCATGGAGAACCTCCACATATTGCTCCTGGCATCTCTTTTACATCCAGTGATTTACAGCAATTTCCCATGGATAAAATTAAAATTCAGTTCGTTGCAATTGAGCATGGGTTGGTTGCGCCGTTATCTGTGGACTTCACCCACTGCACAAAAACGGTACATTCCTTGGCTTCCTCTTTCAAGTCATCCATTTCTAGGAAAGTCATCCTTAAAAGCCGGAGAACATGTCTGACCGGGAGGGTGAACTTGAATGACAGTCATTGTGGTTTCCCCACCCTCACCCTTTCCGAGATAGCTAAAGATAGACAGCGTGGCGTTTAAATGGCAGTTGAACTGCTGCCCGCAGGAAAGAGAAAATGTATCTCTGGTGAAGGGTTTGGTCTTAATAATAATTAATCAAGTTGGATTTTTTGTTTGTTTGTTTCCAGATCATTTGCTGTTTTACTTTTAAATACGGATGGTTTTGTTTGCATTTTCTCTGTACATATTTTTGTGTTCCTCTAATAACATTCCCCTTGGAGGCGATGTTGATGCACAATTAACATCAACAGACTGAGTTCAAAATGTAATCAATGGAAGAGGGACAGAGATGCCTTGAGGAGAAAAAAAATAAACTCTTGGCTGGTGAACTGGGATAAAAGCTTTGCTAGTCCGCCTGTCAGCATGGCGGCAGTGGGGGAGAGAGAGAAGAGGCTCTGCTGCCTAAAGGATAAAAGAAAATGGGTGTGGGAGAAGAGAAGGAAGAAGGGAAGGGAGCAGCACACAGGAGAGGGAATGTGGAAGTGGGGACAGAAAGAGCAGTTAGCTTTGTGGGAGAAAGAGGGAGCATAGCCGTGGGGACATGGAAGAAGAGGGCACCAGTTGCAGGAAAGTAGCAGCTCCCAGAGGGATGTAGTGGCGCTGCGGGTTAAACCGCAGAAGCCTCTGTGCTACAAGGTCGGAAGGCCAGCTGTCATAAGATCACGTGTCCCAGCTCCTGCCTACCTAGCCATTCAAAAGCATGTAAAAATGCAAGTCGATAAATAGGTACCACCACGGTGGGAAGGTCTAGTCGTGCTGGCCATGTGACCATGGAAACGGTCTACGGACAAACACTGGCTCTACGGCTTGGAAAAGGGGATGAACACCGCGCCCTAGAGTTGGACACGACTAGACTAAATGTCAAAGGAAACCTTTACCTTTACATAGCAGCTCCTAACCCATGTGAAGTTGGTTGCTGAATAAAAATGTCCCTGCCCATTCAAACCTATTTATAACCAGCATCTTCCCACATTCATTTGTTGATCTATGTGTTGAGACTTTAAAAAAAATATAAAGAAAGCAGAGGGTGGAAGACATACACAGTACTAGTCCCTGGCCTGCAGCCTGAAATAGTAAAATTAATCGAAGCGCTTCTTTTCCACTGTGTTAAGAATCAGAAGGTAGCAGAGAAACAGCTGGCCGAGCAATGACGTGTCAATTCTGCCTTTCTCTCATGCAGATGCATTCCTTGTAAAGGAGCCCGTTTCCCCCCGACGCTTCCACGTCCTGCTGTTGCCGTGCTGCCTTTCAAGCTTCCGTTTTGTCAGACGGCAACCGATAAGGGACAAATGGAGGTAAGGAACTGTCAGCAGCAGGCCTGCTTGGCCTTTTTTGGGGGGAGAGTCCAGCTCCCAGCTGGTCTGTGTCCAAGTCTCTTAGAACTGTTCTTGCAAGAGGCCCCCGATCAGAACTGACCCATTGGGCTGCAGGTCCTTTTCAGGAAGAGAGGCAGGTCAACTCACCAAACAGCCTCTACCTGTTGGTATTAAGGCTCATTCTACCAGAGCTCTGGCTATCTCTGCGGCCTTTCTTCATGGAGTACCACTTCCAGACATTTATAAGGCTGCTACATGGGCAACGCTGTCTACATTTGCCGCCCATTATCGCCTGGATCTGAGAGCCAAAAAGGATGCAGCATTTGGGAGAGCTGTACTTTCTTCTGTTCTTCCGTTACGTCCCTCCTCCAGTATGGTAGCTTGTTAATCACCCATTAGTGTGCATTCACAGAGATCACAAAGAAGAAAGAGGGGTTACTTACCTGTAACTCTGGTTCTTTGATTGGTCACCTGTGAATCCACACGTCCCGCCCAGCCTCCCCTCTGTCTGTCATTCCTGTATCACTTTGATGTTGGGCAGGCTCTTCTTCGTGGTCTGCCCAGGATGGACAGACCATGTGTACTGGGGGGGCGGTCCTTGACAAATGTATTATAAAGCTCTAGAATATTCCAGAGACATCTGTGCAAGCGCAGATTAAACCCATTAGTGTGAGTTCACAGAGGACCACTTGAAGAACCAGAGTTACAGGTAAGTAACCCCTCCTTCTTGAGCATTGGAGCTTCCTTTTAGATTAAAAAACTAACAACAAATCCAGCGAGTGTCTTATCCTTATGGTTGCAAATACACCCTTGAGGATTGGAGCTCCCTTTTAGATAAAAAACTAACAACGAATCCAGCAAGTGTCTTATCCTTATGGTTGCAAATACACTCTTCAAACTACAAATACCAGCGGAAATATGAGAAATGAAATGGGGGTAGAGAAGGATAAATCTTCTAGCAGTTAAAGCCAGGATTTTAGCACTAAAATCTGTATTTTCTTTTTGTTAAGAGAGATCCTTTGCTCTACATTATTTTGATTCCTACTTTTCTTTATGGGGAACTCAATCTACCCAATTTTGAAAATAACAATGAATGTGGTCTTTTCATTTTGTTGTTTTGAATCCTTTTGGGGTTTTTTTGGCCAAAGGCAACTTTGAAACCATGCAGGCTGAAGACTTTTTCCCTTCATCCAGTGCCACATCTTATCCCATTTCTATGTTCCTCTAGAATAGGGGTTCCCAACCTTGGATAACCCAGGTGTTCTTGAACAGCAATTCCCAGAATGCTTCACCACCAGCTGTGTTGCCCGGGGTTTCTGGGAGTTGCAGTCCAAGAATACCTGGGTTACCCAAGGCTGGGAATAGAGATGGGCACGAACCTCAGTTCAGAGGTTCATGCTGGTTCATCAGCCCAGGACCATAAGTTCCATGCATTCCCTTCCCTCAACCCCTGGCCAGATCCTCCACTCACCAGCCAGTGTACACTACTCTTCTCCTCTTTGGGCATTCATCCAGTCCTCGCAGGAGTGCCGGATTCTCTCCTCTGCCTCCTTTGGCAGCTGCCCACTCAAGATAAGGAAGTGGGGTGGGGATTCCTACAATACAGCTTTTGAGTGGGAGGCTGCTGGAGGAGGCGGAGGAGGGACCCAAGCACTCCTGCCAGGACTAGTCAAATGCCTGAAGAGGAGCAGGAGAGCAGTGCATGCTGGCTGGCAAGTAGAGGATCCGGCTGGAGGGGTGTGGGAAGGGAACATGTGTCCTCTGTGGTGCTCGTCCGATGATCTGATGCGAACCTCCAAACCAAGGTTCATGCCCATCTCTCGTTGGGAACCACTGCTCTAGATCTTTGACAACAAACAACACTAAATAAATGGCTACTGATAAGCTCTCTCCTGTGCTTTTCCCTCCCTCTGCCTGGTTTAGGAGCAGTTTTGGCGCTCCATCCTGTTTCACAATTACCTGGACTTCTTTTCCCAAAATGGATACGAATATGATGAAAGTGTCAAAAGTCATGCCATCCAAGAACAGCAGAACCTCCTAATGAAAATGTTTGCAGTAAGTGCCTGGTATTTTAAATTCAAAAAGAACTGTAGCCATCTGAGCGTTAGGCTGTTTTCATTTTAAATACAACATGTAATATTGCCTTTTATCCCTCTTTGTAGCCTGAGCATTTTGACTCTTCCATACATCTGTTTACTTCGCCTTTGTTAACTCTTTTACAGGGGACATTTAAGGACATTTAACCTGTGACAGGTTCTAGTTCCTCTCTTTGCATCAGAAGATTGAAACCAGAGGTTTGGAAACCGAGCCCTTGGGCATGTTTAGTCTGGAGCGAAGATTGAGAGGCAGTATGACCAGTATCTGGAAGGCTGTCATGCTGAAGAGGGAATGACCGGACTTGTTTTGAGCTGATCAAGAGGATAGGGCTGGAAGTAATGGATTCAAGTTATAAGAAGGGAGTTTTTGATTAAGCATTAAGAAAATTCCTGACAGTGAGAGAGGTGGTTGGATATCCAGGTTGGATAATATCCAGCTGTCAAGGATGCTGTAAGGGGTGCACTTCCTGCATTCGCAGTGCCCGGAGACCAGAAAAATAGGGGATGATTTTAAGATGCTGCTGAAGATTCGTCTCTTTCCTGCAGCTTTTGGCGGAGCTCTCGTGACATTTTTTGATAGGGCCCCCATATCCATGAGGGGATTGTACCTCTGCTCAGACATGCTGCGCCATCAGGCCTTTAGGCTGGCTTATCCTAGCTTGCTATTGCCTGGTGTTTTTTATATACCGTATATACAGTGGTGCCTCGCTTAACGATGTTAATTGGTTCCCAAAAAAACATCGCTATGGGAACACATCGCTAAGCGAAACACTATTTCCCATAGGAATGCATTGAAAACCGGTTAATCCGTTCCAATGGGAACGGATTACCGTCCTTAAGCGAAAATCGCCATAGGAAACATCGCTAAGTGATACAATGTTTCCCCCATTGGAATGCATTGAAGCCTATTCAATGCATTTCAATGGTTTTGCGATGTCCGTTTTCGCTATTTTTAAAGTGTCTTACAATGTTCAAAAACAGTTTTAAATGCTTGGAATCGTTAGTGCACCTTGCGAAACCTGTGCAAACTTAATTTGGCTTTGTTCTGAGTCTTCGTTAATTTTTGGTGAATTTTTTTCTGCCCCATTGGAATACATTGAACTGTCGGTGTCAGAACAAAGACTCAGAAGAAAGCCAACTTAAGTTTGCACAGGTTTTGCAAGGTGCACTAACGATCCCAAGCATTTAAAACCGTTTTTGAACATTTTAAGACACACTTAAAATTGCAAAAACGGACATCGTTAAGCGAAACAGGGGGACCTAAACTGTCATCGCTATGCAAGGCAAGGTCCCGAACATCGCTATGTGAAATTTTCCCATAGGAAACATCGTTAAACGGAGTGTAAAATCGCTCAAAAAACCCCATCACTAAGCGAATACATCGCTAAACGAGGCAATCGCTAAGCAAGGCACCACTGTATAATATAATGCTGTACCACTAATTGGGCAGTATGTGAATGTTCAGAAATAAATGAAATAAATGTGGTTGCTCTTTTGAAAAACAGGCCTGTTAGTTCATGGCTGGGATGAGGATGCCAGGAGAGGGGTGTGTGTGTATGTGTGTGTGTGTTTGTTTGTTTGTTTGTGTGCAAATGCCCATTAATTGGGAGGTTGTACCATTTGTGCTTTATCACTACGAGAGAGGAATCTCCAGGTACACTCCTTGGTACATAACTAATTAGCAAAGGGTTTTAGCTGAGAAGGGAGGGGGAGAGAAATTACTTTTGAAGAAGTTGCTGTCTTCTTAGAGAAGGTTTGGGATGATCCAGTACCTGTTTGAAACAACCCCTTGAGGAGTATACAAAGGCATTGATGGGTTTAAAAAGTGAAGGAAATTGCTTAGCCTAGCCTAGTATCTCTAAGGAGGCCACTGTGCTGATCTGCTACCTTGCTGTCTGACTGTATCTCTAAGGAGGCTACTGTGCTGATCTGCTACCTTGCTGTCTGACTTGCGCTCTGTCCTCTTGAGCCATGTTGTCAGTGTGTAAATATTAGTTTAGATTAGCTAGCTTTCTTATTTTATTGTGGGAACTGTTCTGGAAGTGTTCTTGCTTCTAGCCTGAAACTGTTTTTGAATGCTTATTTGCTCCACAGATTCTTTATTTTTTGTGACTTTTAAAAACTGTTTGGAAGTTTTTTTTCCTTTTTCTTGCAACATCTTTATCATACTATAATATATTACAACAGCTTGGTTGTTTTGGGAACAAGAGATTGTACTAAAGAAAAGTCTTGCCTCAATCACCTGGTGGATGCTTTTACATTTTATGGGTATTTTAGCATTTCTACCTTGCAGGGTTGGCATAAAAGTCTAAAGTTCTTAATCTTACGGGTTTTGGTAATTCCGTGAAGCACTGAATAGTCAGAGTCACTCAGGGTTTTGGGAAGGGTATGGGGCAGGAAGATTTCTCTCCAGCCATCAGCACATCTAGCCCTCTTGGAACTTACCCCCATCGGAAAAATCTGGGCAGTGTTACTGAGTGGTTAAGTGCAGTTCGTATCTTGACCTGGCCTTATCTTGACAAGCCGGGAGCTGGATCCTCAGAGTCCCTTTCAGCTCTCCGATTCTGTGATTCTATGCTCAAGCTACTGAATTTAAGTACAGCCAGATATCTAGAGAAGTACCTTGGTAACTGCCTCAGAAATGTTGTGACTGTATGGCGAGCAGCCTGCTCCTCTGTTCCCAGACTGCCCAAAGTACCAGATGCCTAATAATCACCAACTTTCTATGTAATTTTGTCCTTAACTGACGTCCTTGCCCTTCCACATGATAGTTGAAAGATAAAATGGAAACGCTCCAGTTACTGTTTTCCCGTTTTAAAATTGAAACACTGCTGTGTGAAGGTTTTATGGCTCTTTTAAATGCTTGTAATTTTCCCCTGGATGGCAGCTATAATTCTCTTTCCTGGTCCTTGCAAGCAGGCTGATGTTTGCCCACATGGCTGACTCTTTAATGAATGAATGTAGACTGAAAGGTGAGCAAGGAGGGAGGAGGAGGAGAAGAGAACGGTATCTTATTATTTCCTTTGGCTTTTTCAAGACGCTCTTTCTGTGCAAAGCATCCATTTCCTCCTTTTCCCCCCCAAAGCTTTCCTGCACGCTGGAACGTGAATTTCGCTGTATGGAGCTGGCAGAGCTCATGACTCCAAATGCCACCAGCCTAGCCATCAAGTACGCCTCACGCTCTCGGAGGCTGATTCTCGCCCAGCGGCTCAGTGAACTGGCAGCGGAGAGGGCAGCAGAACTGGCAGCTGCTGAAGGACCTGGGAAGGAAGAAGAGGAGGAGGAGGCGGTGCCACCACCGGATTTCAGACACCATCTCAATAACAGGTACAGTGATGCAGTAATCAGCAAACGCAGTGATGGAATCACTGTGGACCTAATGGGCCAGCCTGCATCTTCATGGCTTATGTCTTCCCACAACAAACTAGCCTGGCCAGCTGTTTCATGTTTGCTCTGGGAGGTTTCCCATCTCTTAAGCCATGGGGACCTTTGGGCTCTTAGACTAGGGGAGACATCCTCTGACCATAGGACTTCATGCATGAACAGGAAGGAAACAGTGGGATACCCAGGGGTAATTTCTGGGTCAAAAGTGCGGGCTGTGCATTTTAAAAAAACTTATACAGTGGTGCCTCGCACAACGATGTTAATTAGTTCCAAAAAATTCATCGCTGTGTGAAACATCGTTCTGCGAAACACCATTTCCCATAGAGATGCATTGAAAACTGGTTAATCCGTTCCAATTGGAACGGATTGCCATCATTCAGTGAAAACCCCCATAGGAAACATCGTTGAGTGAAACAATGTTTCCTGTATTGGAATGTATTGAAGCCGACTCAATACATTTCAATGGCATGCCGATGTCTCTTTTCCCTCATTTAAAAGTGTCTTAAGCTGTTAGGAAACTGTTTTAAATGCTTGGCATCGATAGTCCAGCTTGTGAAAGGCATGCAAACTTAATTTGGTGTTGTTCTGAGTCTTCGTTCATTTTTGCTGATTTTTTGTTTTCTCCATTGAAATGTATTGGTTATGTGAAAATCCCCCATAGGAAACATCGCTGTGTGAGGCAGCAAATTGATCAGAAAAAGACATCGTTATGTGAATTCATCGTTGTGTGAGGCACTCGTTGTGCGAGGCACCACTGTATCCTGCCCTTCACGATAAAGCACAGAAGAATTTTGCAAGGCGTCCTTTTCCAGGCACTTATCAGACCAAAATGTCCTCTAAGCTGTGCATCAGGAGTTTGCATGAACTGCCAGTTTGTTTACTTCCTGTTTCAAATGAAGCCCCACCCACAGATCGAGGCTCCTGCACAGCGGGACAGAAATGTAGAGGAACTTTGGATCAGATCCACATTCACCATTGCTTTTTAATCTATGTGTATAGACTAGATGCACGGCAGATTTAGCTTTTTCTGGATTTCTCAAAGCTTCTGAGACTTCTGGAATTTCCAAAAAGGGGGTGGGGTGGGGTGGTCACATCTTGTTCTCCTGTGCTAAACACAGAACTGGTACATAACATGCATGCAAAGATATTAGGGGAAATAAACTCTTTGTTTAATCTGAATAAAGTGTGAGATAAAAGGCTTTGGGAGCAGATCAGATTTTAAAAAGTTAAGTCCAACAGAGTGTTAATATTTTATCTGACCTCCTTTTCAGTATTTAATATGAGTAAAAGAAGAAAGGGACGTGGTGGCGCTGCGGGTTAAACCGCAGAAGCTTCTGTGCTGCAAGGTCAGAAGACCAAGCAGTCGTAAGATCAAATCCACGTAACGGAGTGAGCTCCCGTCGCTTGTCCCAGCTCCCGCCAACCTAACGGTTCGAAAGCATGTAAAAATGCAAGTAGATAAATAGGTACCACCATGGTGGGAAGGTCATGGCATTCCGTGTCTAGTCGCACTGGCCACCTGACCACAGAAACTGTCTATGGACAAACGCTGGCTCTACGGCTTGGAAACAGGGATGAGCACTGCGCCCTAGAGTAGGACACGGCTGGACTTAATGTCAAGGGGAACCTTTACCTTTACCTAAGAGAAGAAGGACGTGATGGCGCTGCAGGCTAAACTGCAGAAGCCTGTGCTGCAGGGTCAGAAGACCAGCAGTTGTAAGATCGAATCCATGTGATGGAGTGAGCTCCCGACGCTTTGTCCCAGCTCCTCGCCAACCTAGCAGTTCGAAGACATGCAAATGCAAGTAGATAAATAGGTACTACCTCAGTGGGAAAGTAAAACAGTGTTCCCTAGTCACGCTGGCCACGTGGCAACGGAAACTGTCTTCGGACGAGCTCTGGCTCTATGGCTTGAAAACGGGATGAGCACCGCCCCTTAGATTCGGACACGACTGGACTAAAAATGTCAAGGGGAACCTTTACCCTTTTAAAGAGAAGAATGTCATGCTGTTTTGTTTGGTATTTTGTCATCTTAATTTAGCTGAGAAGTACAGCTGAACACTTGTGCTTTCTTTCCTGTAGTTTTCCTTTAAATCAGTCGTTCCAGACCTTGGGCTTCCTCTGATGTTCTTAATCTACAGCTTCCGTAGATCTTGGCCAACGCAACTCGTGGTGAAGGCTCTGGGGAGTGTTCATCCGAGCCCATCTGGGGACCCAAGGTCTATGAATCCAGTGACAGAATGTTTTCTGTCTTCAGAATATTTTTGCCCTTAGCATTTTAGGGCTTAAAAAAATCACACAAAAACGGCACCCCTTTTTTTTTCAGGCATCCTCAGAGGAGAAGAAACCATTTGCTTTCCGGTGAACTTTTCTGAATTTCTTATGTGTCTGAACTTGTTCTGCAGGTGTTAACTCCCATGTTTTGCCTCTGCTTCCATTTGAGTCTCTGAGGCCAAAAAACAAAACAAACAAACAAAAAACAACAGAGGGATCGTAGGAACGTCTTGTCACTTCTGAGCTGAAAGATGATCCCAGCCATCTTTGTAGCTGTTTGAGGGCAGAAAACATCCTCGGAGCGCTCTGCATTTAGAGGGTGGCAAGGTTTATTTTATGCAAGCGAATGAGTGGCTAAACTATGTTAAGAACATCGTGTTGGGCAGTAGCCAAGTTCATTCATTGTGTCATCTCGATAATGCACCATCGGTGCAGAACAGTGAGCAGCAAAGCTCAAGTATTTTATTCCTCAAATTCATTCATTCATTACACCCAACCTGTGTTTTGTTCAAAGCCTTCCTTTAGATTGAGATCTTCCTTAGAGGCCTGGTTTACTTGCCCTACTGTGACCCAGGAGGGGGGGGGGCTTTTTTGGGATAGCTGTGCATGCTTTGCTGTAAACCACCCAGAGAATGTATTTCACTATGGGATGCTATATACGTTTAAATAAACACAGAAACAAAAACAACCCACCCCTTCTTTGTAGAGGTTTCCCCTGCACCTTTTCCTACTGACGTTTACTTCTGGAGAGTTTACTTCTGGAGGGTTTTTCCTTAGCTTTCTATTACGTTCCTGTTGCTACGAAGGATGTTCCTGTTGATTAGTAGCATAAATATTGCATTGCACTGATTACTTCTTCTTTTTTGCTTTATGTATCTGTATTTTAATAAATTTTTACTAGCTATTTTAATAAAGGAGAAATCAGTTGTGAAGATCAGTCCCCTTGCCATTAGGTTCAGAGTAACGACCCTAACCTGTCATTTTTGTCTATGCTTTTGACACTCCAGCCTTTGCTCCTTGGGCAGCCCGGAAGCCTCCTGTTGAGTGTATCTCTCTGCTTTAGTTACAGTAAGACCCCCACAGAATGGAGCCATGCTCGGGCGAGGAACCTTCAACGCCAGCAAAGTATGGAGACCTATGAGGAAGCTGGGGATGAGGAGGAAGACACATCTGAAGGAACAAAACCGAGTGAGACACAAGCTTATGCGCAAATACAGATATCCAGGACATAGTCATGTATTTTGGAGACCTAAAATGTTGGGCGGGCTTTATCATTTCAGAGGATTTGAGAGGGATGGATTGATTGATTTTAAATAGTTTTACCCCACCTTTCTCCTTAAAAAGAACCCAAGGCAGCTTCCATCATTAAAAGACAACATTTAGAGCTAAAAACAGTTAAATATGCAAAAACTTATAAAGGATAAAAGAAAAGCCACATTAAAAAACTATAAACAAAGCAACACCAAAAGCAAATTCAAAGCAGTAAGGCACAACAGTACATTTAAAACCCCCACTTAAGCAGCCAGTCATTAAAGGAAAGCTTGCCTGAAGAGAAAGGTCTTCACCTGCTTGCCAAAGGACAACAAAGACGGGGCCAGCCTGGCCTCCTGTAGGAGGGAGTTCCAGAGTCTAAAGGAGCAGCCACAGAGAAGGCCCCTCTCCTGTGTCCCCACCCAATGTACCTATGCAGGTAGTGGGATTGAGCAAAAGGCCTGTCTTGATGATCTTAATACTCAAGCAGGCTCATAAAGGGAGAGGCAGTCCTTGAGATTGCCACAAGGTTAAGACCAGCACTTCGAATTGGGCCTGGAAATGGCATGCGAATCCCTAGGATCAGCCCTCATTAGCAATCTGGCTGACATGTTGTGGAGCTGCTGAAGTTTCCAATAGTTGTATGATAATTGGCAAGCCTGACCAAGGGAGAACCACCTCCTCCCTTCCCAGATTTGGGGAAATGGGCTGCCCCATTCCATTCATCTCTCCATTGTCAGAATAACAGGTGGGACCTGTGCTTCTCTGCCTCGCCTGTTTTCAAATCTGTATCTGTCTCTCTTGCCTGGTTCCCTCTGCCTGGCTAGTATTCCATCTCTGTTGAAACAGGGTATGTAGCCTAAAAATGCTACTGGTTCATAGTTAACTTGGAAGGCAGTTTAAATGTCAAAATCTGCTTCATGTTGGTATTTACATGTTTACACTTGTTATTTTTTTTCTCTGAAGGATCTCCCCTGCTCTGTGGAACCGCCTCTACTCCCAAGTCTGGTGAGTCAAAGTTATTTTTATTCTGGGTAAGGAAAACTTCTTAATTGTTGGTCCCCTTTGTCCAGTCACTGGGTGCCTGCTTTGGAAATGTATTTCCTCCCTTTTTGTTAAACAGACTGCACGTGGTTGCACTGACCTTACTGCTCTGACTTTCCAAATTCTGTAGTCCAGAGATACTCCCAATCAGGACGAAATGCAAGGACACATTTCCCATATTTACTTTGCATAACTATCTTTCCACTGGATCCCAGAGGTTTGATCACTGAAAGTCATCTTGACATTTATAGGTCTTCAGACTTTCCATGAGACTTACTGTTTTGCTGTTTGCAGGACAGAGAGCAATTTGGAGGAGTGGGGAAGTTGCTCCATTTTAGTATCACAGTTCAAAAGCAAGGAATCTTTTAGCAGCTTAAGGATGAGCCTGTTTTATTTGGCATAAGGTTTCACAGTGCCATTGCTGCGATTCAGCTATACTGTGAGGATCCTGGAATGAATCGCATGAAGGTGGAGAATCACGTGGCAGGGCAAGATAGTGGGCCTGAGCACCATTCTGTCTACATCAGTAGGACTTGGGTCCCTGTTTTTTACTAGCGTGACACTGAAATTGCTGTGGATTCTACTATGAAAAAACATGAGTTGTCCCAGACTGGCCATAATCCAACCACCTTCATCATCAGTGTGTGATACCATGAAAATAATATGCTGGGATGATTGGGCATTGACTCTTAATTTGCTGGCATACAAAAGGAGAAAGGCAGGAAAGGATCAGCCACAGAAAAATACTTGTTAACCAGTCAATCAGTCATTGTCTTTGTATTCAGCTCCAAAATATGCACAGTATATTAATTGGTTGTTATAGGTTTTTCAGGCTGTTTGGCCATGTTCTGGAGGTTTTTCTTCCTAACATTTCTCCAGTCTGTGGCCGGCATCTTCAGAGGAGAGGAGTTAGAACTCTGTGTTCTAGTGCAGTACATGGGATAATTGAGTATTTGTAGCTGTGGGTTCAGCTTTTTGTCCTTTTCAGGAGATTGGGTGATTAGGGTGATCAGGTTCTTTTTTATTATTATTATTTTTTTGTTATGGGAGTATTGTTGTGATAAGGTGAGGGGAGATGATCTGTTCCTGTGATTGATGGGTGTCGTTAGCTAGTCTTTTGCGTTTTGTGGTCCCAATATATAGCTGGACACAACTGCAGGGTATCCGGTCTACTCCTGCAGTGATGAGGGGGTCCCTTCTGTCCTTTGCTGACCGTAACATTTGTTGTATTTTTGTGGACTAAAACAATCAGAAAAATAATGTACAATATGCTCAGTTCATGAAAAAGCAAGATTTTAAAAATCTTCTCCACATTACAGAAAGATCAGAACAATTTATTCACACATGTGTAGAAAAGCATCAATAGCAAAGTTCTTACTGTCAAGACAGTGCGCATTCTGCCTTGAACAAAAGTATTTGGCCATTAAAGATGCTGGGAAAGCAGAAAGGCTGCAGGTCCCCAAAGGCTCAGGGGGGTTCGTTTTTCTCTCTGCCGAAACTGGGTCTGGGATTGTCACATGTCAACATACGAAAGTCAAGATTATGTCCACATTTTAGGGAGCAAAGAGGATCAGCATTCTACACAGCCCTGCTTGTAGGTTTCTGTTCCGGATGAAAACAATTTAGTGTGTCCATCAAAAAACACCTGTTTTTTTTTTTAATTAACTTATTCTTTATCTCTCTCTGTCTCTTTTGTAACTGAAGCTGGAGTTGTACCTACCAATCAAGGAAGGATCAATCCTTTCAAGGTGAGACCATAGTGATTTTACCTGAGCAAGCTTTTGTGTGAACTATGTGAAGGGCATTGGAAATCCTGACCGAACAGGCATGGGAAGAGGGGGAAAAATGTTTCTCAGATGTTTTGTTTCTCTAGCTTTCCAGTAGCCAAAAGGATTCGCTCGTTCCCTCGGTGAATATTCTGGACAGTATGGCCAAACTGCCCAAGAAAACTCCTTCGCCAGCCAGCCGAGCTGCTCCCAGCAAAGAGAAGGGTCCCGTGATAAAGCCGTTGGCGCCCAAGGCGAAGTCAAAGCAGGTGACCGTCCTGAGCTTTGTGCTCTTTTACGATGGTGAAAAGATTTAATTTCCTGTGGCCAGCCCCATTGCAAGTGGAACCTAAAAGAAGAGTCTAGGATTGAGATCAGAGGTCAGGGCCAGGGGAAGAGAGAGAGAGAGAGAGAGAGAGAGAGAGAGAGTGGGGAACCTAAAGGCAATCAGACTCCTCTTCCTGTATTACTTTCATATCAAGCCTATAAGTAGGAATAATGGTCGGAATCTATTAATTGCAGCATAATGGGAGCACCATAATTTTCCATGGTTAACGCAGCAGGTTAAGAAGTTGGCATTTCCTATCACACGCCAGTTGTATGACCTGCTGTGCCAGACTCTGACTTCTTAATTTCTGTCAAGTTGGCATTCTGTCAGCGGAAATATGCTACAGGATTCTGGCCGACACGTAAGAAAATCTTTCCAGCTGTTTGTTCTTGTTCTGGAGTGGAACTCTTGCTGATGCTTTGCTATCTCAGGCTCTTTCATGCCATTTGATGTACCACTGTTAAATAACACAGATACGTTTGGAAGACAGGTTCCTGTGACGTTTTAAGATTCGTAACAAGTGGCAAGCTTAATTTATATTGTCCTGGTGCTAGACATATATCTTTTACTGGAGGGCTTATCAAACAAATCAAATGATGTACACAGACTACCTTACACTACTCTGTTTTATTTTAGTATCACACACTTTAAAGCTACTGTTTTTTAATAAGTATGTTTTGCTCATTGCAGCTGGGCCTAACCCATGTGTTTTGGTCATTGCCGCCGAAGAGTGTTTTGTGCTTAAAATGTGTTGAGTGTATTTCTTGGTACATTGAGATTTAGAATTATGTTTTTGGTACATCATGTATAAACACAGAGTAGTGTAGAGGGAGAAAAACACAGAACAGCTAAACATATGTCTTATCTCACTGTTCAAAATCCTGTTGCATAAGTAATGTCTGTGGAACAGTGATGACATCGTCAGAAGGAGAGATTATTAGCAAGTTTTCATTGTGTAGAAGCTGTGGGATCCACGGGACAGAAGGAAGAAATCTCTATCTGCTGGTGGCGTCATCACCCGTCTGACGCCATAATTTAAGCAACAGGATTTTGGCCATTATTTGCTTCCATCATAAATAGTTCATTTAAAGTATGATGCCTGGTAAGAAAATTATCCAAAAAGTGCACTCTTCTGGAAAGACAAGTGTTCATGTGAATGAGAGATCCTTGCCCCAAGTCTGAATTGCAGTGCAAAAACAGTGTAATTTACTGCAGAGTTTAGATTCATTTATTTCTTGGTATAGGCGGCGGCAGCAGCATTTTTCCAACCCCGAGCATCTGCCATGGAAAAGAATATCACAGAAGAGAAGGGAGAAAAACTTGAATCAAAAAAGAAAACCGCAGAAGAGAAAAGAGAAAAACTGGAAACTATCCCACCTGAGTCAAAAAATTTGACGGAGGATAATGACAGTAAAAGGTCAGTATGCCTGTTGCCATTCTAGGGTGACCCCCCCCCCCCCGCTTCCAGAGAAATCCAGGTGTGAAACTCTTGTCAAGGGGGGCACATGGCTCCCTTCAGAATGTTTTCCGAAATGGAAGTCTCCCTTTTTATTCTTTTCAGGCCAAAGACTGGATTCCAGATGTGGCTCGAAGAGAACAGAAGTCATATTTTGGCAGATAACCCTGAGTTTGAAGAAACAGAGATAATAAAAGAAGGCATGAGCCGATTCAGGATGTTGTCTGCAGAAGAAAGGATGGTAACGCCGCCCTCCTGCGGAGGATTTTATCTTTTAGGCATTTATTTAAAGGGGAGAAGTTCTGTTCTTTGACATTGCCCTTGACGCTTCTACTTTCCACTGTCTTCACCGGCATCTCCTTGCATTGTGTTCCGTCCTAGTCTCTCACTGTCCCAGAATGAGAGAGCAGTGGTGACCTGAAATCTCATCTTACGTACAACACAATCTGGTCCACACTCTGCTACGCTGTATGAAACCCCCTGACCCCCAGAACATGAAACAGAAAAGTTTCACACAAGTGCCGCGAGGTCACTTTATACTAGCAAAAAGCTCTTATAATGAAGGTGGGTGAGGAAAATGTCATGTGGTCTGGGAGCTCATCGCCCTGCATGTGTGGTTGGACTATATCTCCCAATCTGTGTAGCGGTTGGGAATTGAAATCCAACTCTTATCTGGAAGAGCACTGATCCAAAGGTTTCCAAATGTGTTTCCTCAATAACACACTATATATTAGTCTTATTACTAATATGGTATGTTACGCTGGCTGGATAGCTCAGTGGTTTAGGTCTGTGGCAGCGGAGCCAGAGGTTGGGAGTTTGATTCCCTCACTGGGCCTCCTCGGAGGAGAGCCAGCCTGGGTGACCTTGGGCCAGCTGCAGAATCCTAGAGCATTCCTAGAAGAAGGCCATTAGAAACTACTGTATTTCTGAGTATGCTCTCCCTCGAAAACCCTGGAAAGGGTCACCATGAGTTAGAATTGACTTGATGGCGGCGCACATGATGGTGATGATTATGGTGTGTTGCAGCTTTTCAAAGTTGTGTGGAAAAAAGCTCACTATCTGAGCAAACTGTTCTGACTTCTTAACTACTTCCGGTGTGCAGAAAGCTTTCCTGAGTTCTTCCCTGACGAAGGAATTACAGTAGTGCGCCGCATAGCGACGATAATCTGTTCCAGAAAAATAGTCGCTATACAGATTCGACGCTATGCGGGGTAAAAAAGCCCATAGGAATGCATTAAAACCCGTTTAATGCGTTCCTATGGGCAAAAAACTCAACGTTATGTGAAAATCCTCCATACGGCCGCCATTTTCACTGCCCGGTAAGCGAGGAATGGGTGCGAAAACACAGCAGGCGGCCATTTTTTTTACCCGGCAGCCATTTTGGAACCGCCAATCAGCTGTTCTAAAAACATCACTATGCGAAAATCAGTAAGCGAAACAGCTTACCGATCATCGCAAAGCGATGTTTTACCATTAAAAACATCGCAATGCGATTGCTTTTGCGATCGCAAAAACATAATCACTATGCGGATTCGTCATTAAACGAGGTGCCCGTTAAGCGAGGCACCACTGTACAGACTTTGCTGAAATGTGTTGAGCCAGGGCAGACAAACTGAGAATTCTGTTTTCTTCCTCGGTTTCGTTTTGATTCCCTACCTTTTCATCTCCTTTTTTACCCCCTATTCTTAGCTACCCAAAAACTCCTGTGCTGTCTTCTTTAAAGATATCATCCCATGTGTCTACTCCCATGGCCGTTGTTTTATTATTTCTATTGTTTCTATTCACTTAAGGCTTGGACGGAAAAAGCCAAAGGAAAAGCCACCGTCGATCCCACTGAAGGAAAGAAACGGAAGCGCCTTGAGGGTGTGAACCGGGACGGGCAAGAAAGCCAAGGAGCAAAATTAAACGAGGACTCAAGCTCGGCAAAAAAATCCAAATCCTTTCAGCAATCTACCATCACGAAACTATCCGCGTTTGCCTACAAGCCAAGCTAGGCCACGTGGATCCTTTTCGTGGCCTCTTCAACGGTCCCTTGCAGAAACCCAACAACTGGTCTTGCCAACGACGGCTGAAGGACAGTAATATGGCTGCTCCGAGTGGAGCATTTAGGCAAAGAAGCTCTCTGTGGATGAGTGTAGTAGCTCCGTCTTTATCTGTGTTACATAGAGTAGGTGTACATTTAGTCTGTAGGTGTTCAGGTGTAGTGACATTTTATGCCGTGTGAAATGTAAAGGTGCTGTCAGGAGGTCTGCCTCAGAGGCTGAAATCCTGATACTCCATGTAGTAAGTTGCCCTTGAGTAAACTCATTGACTCAGGGGAGATCTGTTGATTCAACTCCTCTGTAAGTTCCATGGATTCAAATGGGGCCTACTCTAGTTGAGAGTTCCTGGAACCTAGTAAGCCACAACGAGAGTAGACCCATTTGAATCCATGGAATTTCTGGAGGAATTGATTCAAGGGACCTGTTCTTAGACTAAGCAACAGGAATTCACCCAGTGAGTCAGAACCAAATACTTCTTGAGTATGATTGATGCACAATGTGCACAGAGAAGAAGAGACGGGACCAAAGCCGAAAGGCAGTGGTGGGCGAGAGAACGCGGGCCTGCCCAGCTGACACTCAATTACCATTCTAGTGTAAGCTTGTTGATGCAGCTGAGATTGAGGCATGCTGAGTAACCCCATGAGGAAGGGAAGCATGCGAGCCCTGCCCTTGGTTGCCTTGTACGTCTGGAGAGTGATGGGCCTAAAAAAGGAGAACCTCTGCTCTCCGCAGAGGCTTTCCGCCTGAGTTCAGACCCTGCAGTGCCGGAATTCGAACTCGCACCCCGCAGCCAGCCACAGGAATGATGCTCACGTAGGACAAACCTAGCACACTCCCCCTTGTGCATCAGTTTGGCACGTGTAAACCAAGCATGTATAGGACTGATAGGGTTTCTTATCCCAAGCATTGGCTCTGTTCATCCATTCTGAAACTTTTCCTGCTTGCCTTCTTGTGTACTGAGAGGTGAGTTTGTCCTGAACTGGACTCGCTCAGCTCACATCTAGCTTTTGTGACTCGTCTGTAGCCCTATATGGCATACAGAAGGGATCTCTCCCCCTTTGTCATAGAGGGCATCGCTGGTTAGAACTGTGTTCCACATGGTCGTCAGGCAGCCCTCGGCTCAGATTATCGGGCGACCATGTTTTCCCTTTCCCCAGCTCTCAGAATAGTCGGGGTGGGGTGGAGAAGGTTTGTTTGTGTTTTTTTGTTTTGTTTTGTTTTTTGCATCCTCACTCTTAAATGAATAAAGCAATTACCTTTTTTGTATCGTGGTTGTTGCATGTTTCCTTTTCATCTCCAGCCCCATTGTGCACAGCTCTCGTTTAAACTCTGGTTGAAGTAGATGCAGCATCATTGATCCTGGGGATAATGATGCTCCGAGGTAAATGAGGAAAGGGATGCAGGAGCACACCTGTTTTTAGCTGCCTCGGGCACGCATCAAAGGCTGAGCCGTTTTTCCTTTCTCGTTCAGAAGTTGATCGCTTTAAAGAAGCCAAACAGGGCTTCGCTAATTTACTGGAGTGGGAAAGTGTGGGCCATGAATTAGAAATACTCAATTCAGATTTCACATTCTGCAAGTAGCTTTCTTGCAGCCATCATCTCTCCAGCCTCGGCCCCTCAACTTTGATTTTAATGTTGCCTTAGGTTTAGAGAGCTACGTAAATGTCTGTGGAAATAATTTTTTAGGACAGATACTGGCAACTGTGACCCTTCAGGTGTTTTTTGGATTACCCTTTCCCAACAGTCCTAGCCAGCAGAAAAACGTTAGGGGAGTTCCAGTCCAAAATGAAAAATGTGGGCTACAGTTGCCCACTCCACCTAGCGGAGATACATAAGAACCTAAGAGGAGCCCTGCTGGATCAGGCCAAGGGCCCCTCTAGTCCAGCTTCCTGTATCTCATGGTGGCCCCACCAGATGCCTCTAGGAGCTCATGAAATTGCTAGATCCCTGTCTCCCGATTCCCCTCCCCAACATCTGGCATTTGGAGGTCCCTTCCTTCTAAGCCTGGAGATTGTACATCCCCATCATGGCTTGTCACCTGCAATGGACTTTTCCTCCAGGAATCTGCCCCATCCCCTTTGAAAGGCATCTAGGCCAGAGGCCATCACCATATCCTGTGGCAAGGAGTTCCACAGACTAACCACACGCTGGGTCAAGAAATATTTTCTTTGTCTGTTCTCACTCTTCCAACACTCCATTGGAGTGAATGTCACCTGGTTCTGGCATTGCGTGAGAGGGAAAAGAACTTCCCTCTATCCACTTTATCCATCCCCTGCATCATCCCGTCAATCATGTTCCCTCTCAGGTGCTTTTTCTCAAGACTCAATATGTGGAGATACAGTCCTGGAGGTAAACCTGGACCCAAGCTGTCTAAAACTGTATAGGTCATGACCCACACTTTGAATTGGGCCCAGAAATGGACTGGGAGCCAGTGCCATTGTTGTGCAATATGCTCCCTATAGCTGACCACAGTTGGCAGTCTGGCTGCATATTTTCCATGAAACCAAAGCCTGCAGGGAAGTTCAGTTCTTGAGGATCCAGCTCCACAGATCTATAACGCCCTCTCCAGTGGCCTGTGGATTCTTCTTGCAAGCTCTTTTCTCTTGAATTGGCTGTCCCTTGTTTGCTCTCCTTTTACGTAGCATGGCCCTCCTTTTGTTTTTCCAGAAGTGGTTTGAGTCGCAAAGAGAACGAGAGAAAAAGTGCTTTAAGACTTCGAAGGTCTCCGGTGACTTTCATGCAACACTCCCTGTTCGAAAGGTCATCATTATCATATTTTATTGCTTTCTGTAGATGAAAGATTGCAGATAAGGGATGAATTATCTCCATGCCGGTTTTTGTCCCCATAAAGGTGCAGAAGCAATAATCATGGCTGGTTTTCCCGTTTTGAAATGTTTGTAAGCAAAATAATTCTGTGTTTGAAAAAGAAAAAGCATCTAGATGACGAGAGATGTATCTGCATCTTGCATGAATTGAAGCTGACCTCGACTAGCATTTTTCCTACTTTGCAGAAGCTGCAAAAAAGCTTTTAATCAACTTAAGAAAGGCTAAAAGGATTTTGACTGTGGAGAATGATATGACTGTAGGCCCAAGCACTAGCTGAAATCCTGTTGCTTGGTGTAGTAAGTAGTACTAGAGCAGGCCCATTGAATCACTGGGGATTTGGTGAGTCAAATCCTCCATAAGTTCCACTGATTCAGATGGAACTAGAGTACTCTAACTACAGCGTGCTACACTAAGCAACAGGATCTCACCAATCATATTCCCAAAGAGGAAAAAACAAGCTTCCATTAATGATTGAAACTGTAGTTTAGGATTATCTTTTCACCAACAGTTGAAAACCCGCCTGTTCAAATGCATTTAATTATTATAAGCAAGTCCCTAAATGCAATTTTTTAGTTAAGTTTCTTTTTAAATCAAAGGAACTTAGGCCACAGATCAGTGGGTCACAGAACATTGACACAACCTTTCTGTACCTTAACTTCCACTCCGAGTAAACATTCTGGCATAATCCTGCTTGCTGCTCAAGTCCCCATATAAACAGCAAAGCAAATGTCAACAGCGACATTAAACCTTAGATTTAATTTCAGAAAACAGACCAAGTTTTCCAAGCTAGTTCTGTCTACATCTTTAAGGAAACCACACTTATTCAGAAAGAGAGACTTGCTATTTTTAAACGGACAGGACTCACAATATGCTGCTGGAAATTACGTTCTGTAAAAGGTGGGTAGAAAATCACAATTTTCACTCTGTAACTGCCAATGTGAAAATATCGATGTAGGTAAAGCGCATTTGAAAAGCACCTTATTAAGCAGGTGGGCAACCCTTTGGATGTAGGGCACCTGAACTTTAGAGCAGACGGGATAGTCTCTCTTGCTTTGAAATAATAAACCATAGAGTGAGGAGCCAAGAAACATCTACTGAGTCAGATGCCAGCTCACCTCTGGGGAAGTTCCAATAAAGTATTTGTGACATCTGTTTCAAGGGAATTACAGTCCATTTTTCCCACTGTGTTTAGAAAGTCCAAATAACTGAAAGACTCTGTGATCTCTCTCCACAAAATGAAAAATGTCATACAGAGCAATCTGGATGAGATTATCAAGTGGAATTATAATTATGCAAAATCAGCCATCGTTCGCCCTTTATAAGACACGATATGTGCCCCTAATCTTCCACCAGCCCTTCAGTTAAAGCTCACGGCGTTCCCAGGTGTTTAGCAGAAAGAGGTTCCTTAAGACTCGGGGAACGACACAGAAAAATGGATCCAGGAGAATTCAGATGGGAAAACCGGAAGGCAAAAAGGGAGTGAAGTCAGTGTGTGTGCAAGGAATAAATAGATCCTCCCCTTGTCCTGAGACAAGGTGACGATCACGTGGTGTGATCGTCACTCCTTATCATGGTACATTCTGGGCCTTGAGCCACTGAAAGAATCCACCCTCGTGACCTCTCCATACTATTCCATCATCTTCCAGCCTGGGCACAGCAATCACGGCTCTCTGTTTTTGCTGATTCCATCAGGCAAAAGTCCAGTCTGGGAGAGGATTAGGCATCCTTCAGTCTCGAGAGACTATGGTAACGTGCTCTGAATGGAGAACTTGGAACAGCATCTAGTGTGGCTGAGGAGGCCAATTCGAGAGTGACAATCCCTTCCACATGGAAGACAACGACAATCTGTCCCCTGTCCAGCTCCCTGGTTTGGCTCCTTTCTTGACGGCCTCTTTGCCTCGGCCTGCTGGACAAGGGTCTATTCAAATTGGGAGAGGCCATGATGCACCGCCTGCCTCCAGGCTGAACGCTCAGATGTCAAGGTTTCCCATCTGTTGAGGTCAATTCCTAAGGCCGTCAGATCCCGCTTGCAGATCTCCTTGGATCACAGCTGTGGTCTCCCTCTGGGGCGATTTCCCTGCACTCATTCTCCATACAGGATATCCTTTGGAATCCGGCCATTAGCCATTCTCACGACATGCCCGAGCCAACACAGACATTGCTGTTTCAGTCATGTATACATGCTAAAAATTCCAGCTCGTTCCAGGACTACTCTATTTGGAACTCTGTCCCTGCCAGTTGGTACCAAAATGTGTCGGAGGCAACGCATATGGAAGGTGTTCAGCTTCCTCTCCTTCCATGCACAAAGGGTCCAGGACTCACTGCAGTACAGGAGTGTGCTCAGGACACGGGCTCTATAGATTTAGATCTTGGTCTATGCCATCTGGGAGAAACCCTCAGTAAACATGCTGTTTATGAAACAAACAACAGATTTTCTTGGTGTGTTCCATAGATAGGCCATTCCATTGGTTGGTCATCTAGTCCACAGGCCATCTCTCTGTTGGCCACCCCACATATCTGCATGCCTTTTCCCCAGGGTTTGTTTGTTTGTTTGTTTATTGGATTTCTATCCCGTCCATTTAGACCAAAGGTCTACTCTATATTTGCACTCTACAAACAGAAGCTGATCAACATCAACTCTTAGTAGCACTGTCAAGATCTTGTATCAATCAAGGTTGTGCTTTCTGGATTGAGTCAGTGCATCTTGCTAGTCTGCCTGTTTTCTCACCGCTTCACATTTTTCCTAGCTTTATAGCCTTTTTTAAAGTGATGTTTATTTTTTTGTAATGTTTCCAAAGAACAAAAAGTGGAAACTAGCCATTGACCATCATAATGTAGCGGCTACAATGACAGGACAGTTCTGTATTGTGTCTAAACTCTGCTTTAATTCTGATCCCTACCAATTGCAAAAACATTGTCCTTTGGCAACACGCAAGCCAAGATTGACAAACTTACTTTTCCTCACTAGCAATCGTAGAATCCTCGGTCAAAAAAGCGATTTTTTTTCAAGCTTTGAATTCTAGTCTATAAGCGACAACACAAATAAGAGGTACTTACAACGCTCAGTGGCTTAGGAGATGTTTGACCTTCGGGCAGTGGAGTTTTTCTGCTTATTGATTAATCAAGATCAAATATGATTTGACCGACAGCAGCCTTTGGTGGCACCTTAGGGTCAAACATTTGTCTATTTCAACATTTCATCTTTGCGGGTGATCGGTAGGGGGGAAAAAGGCACGGGCAGGCAAATTCAGTCCGCACACTGGGAAAAACATAGAAGCAAAGGATTCGGAGACTTACATCAAGCAGTATGAAATCTATCCCTTAACACTAATATTCTTAAATGAAGCCTTAGTGCTACAGGAGAGCATGGTT